TGGGGGACATACGTATGCATTATGCAACCATTTATCACCCTTGCAAGTATGGTGCATTTGACCTCGTAGGGACTTGTATGTGCTTCAAATGTGTTGCATTGTGTATGATGAATGTTGGATGAACTCCACTCATTACTAATTCCTTCATACATTCTGACCCCCATTGCTTGTGGGACTCAGTACCCTTAACTGCATCTTAATTGTTGTGTTTGTAACATATGGTCATGATTGCTTGCATGTAGATAAGCCATGTTAAGTGTTAGAAGTTTTCTATTTTCTCAACTAGAAGAAGAAAAGTGATGTTTGAATAACAAAGGATCTTTTATTTTGATTGTTTAAGTCTCTTGCGATCAGACCCAAGTTCAAGTCATTTGTTATTTGCATCCGAGTTCAGTTCAACATCATTTCCTCGAACTTGTTTTGAGTTTGACTTCACATTGAAGACATGGTTCATTGAGGTTCAAGCTCTAGCAATCTTGAAAGCTCAATTTCTTATCACTTTGATTAAAGTTTAAGTTAGGTCCTTTATGTGCATTTGTCTGAGTTTTGAGTCCAAGTATAGTTCAAGCTTAAGATGAGCCTCTTCCATTTGCTCGAGTCTTTGCTAGCTATTCTTGAAAGTTCAGGTTCTTGTTCAAGTCCCCTGTGGTCGAACTCAAGTACTCGCTTGAGTTCAAATTGTTCAAGCCATTAGTGTTCAACTCGAGTCCAGAGTACAAGTTCAAGTTCACTTTTTTGTTTAAGTAGCAAGTTCAAGCTCTTTTTAATCAAGTTTGATTTAGGTTTTGTTCAAGTTCAGGCCCTCAAGTCATATCCTTGTTCATCTTGCAAGTTCAAGTTCATTTAATGCTCAAATCAAGTTTGAGTGTAGTCCTTTGTAATTCACCAAGTCCCTTGTATCACTTTCAAGTTCAAGCTTCTTATTAATTCGAGTTCAAAGAAAAAAATACTTGAGTCTTTCAATATATTTAATTAAGTTAAAAATTAGTCATTTGTATTTTGTCCACAAGTTCAAGTATAAGTCTTATCCTATCCTTTTGACTTCAACTAGGTCCAAGCACAGTCTTGCATGTATCCGAAATTTCAGCAGCCTCCAGTGTCTCCCACTTTTAGGGGAAAACTACGGGAAACTGGGCCTTCCCACCACGCGTTTATGGGTCTTCAGTAGCTGTTGCAAAAGAAAGACAATTATTTTCCTGCAAGCGAGTACTTATGGGTATCCCTACTTCGTCATACGCATCGCACCGGACTCCCATCCCACCACAATAAGAAAAGCGTGTATAGGCGATTTTTCGGTGCGCCACGAACTCCGAAGAAGGGATTTTATACGATTACCCGATTCGTCGAGAGCACCGCGACTAACTTCCTCCCACCACGCTAAGAAAAACGTGTATAGGTGATCATTTTGTCACGTTGCAAGCGTCGAAATCAGGTTTTCAAAGTTTGGAACTTATACCTTAGCAAATTGTGACGTTGAGGTGGAGTTGGCACGTGGACCGAGGCAAAAGGGAAGTCTTACTTCTTTTCTTATCACTATCATTTTTTTATAATTAATTTTAATTATCAATAATTAGTTATAATTAATAATAATTAAATATTATTAAAGAAAATTTAATCATACTTAAATTTATTTAATTATAAATAATATATGATTAATTAATAAGTAATTATAATTAAAGGTTAATTAATCATAAGTAAATTTAATTAATTATGATTCAGTTATCATTAATTAATAACTAATTATAATTAAAGAATCATTTTCTTTAAAGTATCTCTAACTTCGATTTTAGTATTACGTTGATAAAAATAAAAATTCTTATTTTCATTTAGGATACTAAGGTCACTAAAGTTATTCACATTCTCATAATCTTCATTGAAAAGTTTAGAAAAAAATCTCATCCACCTTTCTTGAATATCCTCTTCTAACAAAAACACTTTTTGATCTTCATCTTTAATGCACTTCACTTGAACTAAATCGTTACTATTATCTCTTTGTTTGGTTAACTTATACATATATCTTTCTCCTTCCTTAGTATCTGATATCTTATATAAATCATTAACTGCTAAAATCTTTGCACCGCATATCTCCATCTTAAACTCCTTATGGGCCTTTTTATATCTTATACAATTATCAAAATGTTTACATCTAAACCAATTTTTATAACAATTTTTTTTTTGTGCATATTTTGATTTCACCACCAACTATTTTTACTATAAGGAGATTTTTTCTTTGACACTTGAATCACATCTTTTGCAATATCACTAACTAATTTTTCTCACATAACATTAGCTTCCTCATGCAGGAACAAAATCTTAAGATTTAGTATGTTATTCTCAAAATATATTTTTGTTAATATTCTTTAAAAGTCCCTATCTAATCTTAGAACAACGTTTTACTTTATTTTTGATTTTCTCCCCCTTCATCTTAAAGTCCAAAATTAATAAGTGATGTTGGGTATATAATCTTTTACTCGGAATAACTTTACAATCTTTGCAACCTAAATAGTTTATTATTCTTATAAGAAAATAATTAATCTGAGTTTTAGTATATCCATTCTTATAAATGATTATTTTTTTTCTTAAATAAGATATTAGCAATTACAAAATCATAAGCTAAGAAAAAATTTAATATCATCTTACCACGATTATTATTTGCTCCAAACCCAAAGCAACCATGAATATTTTTAAAATCATCAACCTCTCTACCAACTTGTCCATTTAAATCACTTCCAATAAAATTATTTTCATCAATATATACCTTTTATATTAATTCTTTTAATTTATTCCAAAATTTTAATTTTGAACCTAAATTCAAACATATTTGAGGAACATAAGCACTTATAATATTAATAATCTTAGCATCAACAATCATCTTTAAAACTATAATTCTATCACTAATTCTATTAATTTTTACAACATTATCCATTAAAATCTTATATATAAGAAAACCTATACCATTTCTAGTACGACTCCATCTTAATTTTAATTTCATGAATTAGCTTTTTTTTCCCACCATCTGTCTATTATGTGAGAAACCTTGCCTATTTAATAACGCATCAAAGCATTGGTGCAGCGACCTTTACCCACTTGTCATTGTATTTAGGCCATATAGCGCGTCGCTTCCAAGAAATGCCTTAACATTAACACAATACAATAACAACAACAACATCAATCCTTAACATAAACACAATATATTAAATAATCCATATCATGATTATTCGATAAGTTTTATAATGGTTGTTGACTACCTAATGCAACCCTCCACTTTCTCATCTAGAACTTTGGACCTGACAACAACTGTATACAACAAAAACAACATCAAGCCTTTGTCCCACTACGTGGGGTCGGCTACATGAATCCTTTTTCTCCATTATGTCCGGTTAAAAGTCAAATTCTCATTTAAATCTAATAAAGAAAGATTATTTCTAATATTTTCTAACCAAGTCTTTTTAGGTCTACCTCTACCTTTCTTAATATAAGTCAAATCTAATACCTCAACTTTCCTAACCAGGTCATCGGAAGGCCTCCGTTTAATGTGACCAAATCATCTAAGGAGACTCTCTCTAATCTTATCTTCCACAGGAGCTACTCCAACCTTTTCACGTATATGCTCATTTCGTATCCTATCTCTAAGGGAAGCCACTCATCCACCTAAGCATCCTCATCTCTGCAACAACTTAGTATTATGCTTCTTTTAATGACCAACATTCGGCACCATAAAGCATTGTAGGTCTCACCACCATCTTATAGAATTTTCCCTTAAGTTTGAGGGGGACTTTTCTATAGCACAATAAGCCTGATGCATTCCTCCACTTCAACCATCCAACTTAAATTCTGATGATAATATCCCCATCAATTTCACCATCACTCTGAACAATAGATCTAAGATATCTAAAACATGTACATGACAACAACAATATAGAAGGAAAAAAAATAGTCGATTTTTATTTATTTGAAAGGATACAATTAGGCAATTGTTTGTTATTTTTAGGATTTGACGACTATATAGTACTTGTGGAAAGGGCCAGAAAAGTATAGAGATTGATTTTCAAATAACTCAGAAGCATAGAAATTTACATAACAGAAAGAATACTGAAGAGGATGTACTTATTTCTTAGTGAGAAGGATCAAATGGGAAAAAGTTTAAATCTAGCAAGATTAATAGTGATGCTACTAGTAAGTTTGTGGAAGCTTTAAATATAAAAATTTGTTGGATTTTAACACTTGCTATTGGTGTAATTAGTTGGACAAATATCAAAGTATTGCCCTATACTTGGCCATAAGGCATCAGAAGAAGTGAAATCAAGCAAAGCAACTCCATAAATTATATTTTGGTAAACTAAAGATGATAAAATCGACTACTCCAGCTACAACACAAATTCAACAAAGGTAGAATGTTCAACCACGAGTTCACACATTGACACAACATGAGCCTAATAAATCTATTGATGTTGATAAACCAGTTTAAGAATGTTGTTGATGACAAACACATTAATCTATAAATTTACAAAGTCACATAGTCATAGTGAATATATATATATATATATATTCAGGTTAGTTATGGATGAATGATATATATATATATATTTGTTTGAGAGATGAGAGAGAATCAAAGAATGTTTTGGGTTTAGGGGAATAGAACAAGGTGCTCTACTTGGACATTTTACCAAACACAAAAAGCCACAGGACAATGCACATAAAAGAGGACTAAGTTCATACTTGGTTTCGAAAATGTAGTCTTATTCATCTTGGATTCAGTTCATAAAAATCCGGGGAATCTGTTACTGGGTTTGGGCCTTTCAATGAGGTTCAGATGAGGCCGTGACCTTTTGATAAGGCTCCGATGTGGTTGTAAAATTTCAAAAATCCAAATAAAAATATGCTTATGTTTTTCATGAAAGTTCATTCACGCTTTACAAGATTTGACACAGGCAACACATCCATGAATGACTACACAATAATTGCACAATATCCTCCAGTAATGAAGTAAAAACACATACCTCTTACTTTGTTGATGAATCAGCCAAAATGACGAATCATGGTCAAGGTTTAAGAGATTCATAATCAGAACAGCTTCCTAAAGGGGCAAAAAATTATCAGATGTCAAGAATCTTCAAAGCAAAACTAGATGCATTTTCTAATCAGATAATCAGTTACCTTCTCTAATATCCAACCACCACGAACAAACAATGTAAGGTAGATAGGCCTATGTATGTCAGCCGAAGAAATAAAAGAACTGCCATTTGATGATACAATACCATGCTGCCGTTCAACCATATTCCCTTGAATTGTTTTCTCCCAAATAGCATATTCAGCTTCATAGGGAAGCTTGTTTTCCAACTTGAGAACAGAATTGATGGATATTTTCCAATCATAAATAGGAGCATTTAATTCTGTGTGAAGAACTGAAGCATCAGTCCCAACACTGAACCATGTACTTTGTCTACCACTGATGCAAGGATTGCAGCACAACAGTATATCATTCTTTTCAAGATTGTTCAACCTCAAACATGAGTTGAGCATGCTTAGTTGGCTCAGCATGTTCTGTCTAGTAACAGAAGCCAACTGATTGGCAGACTGATCTTTGCTGAAGCCCAAGGCCACTATTTGACCCCAAACATATAATTCCTGAGGATTCTCAACGTACGGACGAACCTGCAAAAACAAATCTGAATCGCTTGCCATACTGGTCCATGGCAAAAAAGATGAAGAGGCTGGATCTATAATGGTTATGATATTCCTATGGTCATTAATGTTTTGATCAGGTATTAGTTGTCTATTGCGTATCCATCGTCTTCTCCGTACAAAATGTAGAGCTGATTTTGAGGAAGACATCGACGAACTTGGAGGCCATTTTAAGTTCTGAAAATCAGTTCCATATGCCCAACCATCACTGTCGACAAGGTCGGACTTATCAATCCTCCAGGCAGAAATCCACCGCCAACTAGAGGGCAGAGGCGGCTCAAAGAATTCCTTCAAATTTGTTAAGATATATTAAATTAGAACAAAGAATTCCATATCAATAGTTATATAATTCAAATTAGATAATTTATTACCTTCGATGAGTATGAAAAATCCCTTGTACTCCAATGTTCTGGGTCACCATGAAAATTGGATAAATTTCTCCACCCAGAAATTGGTTGATATCGCTGATTTTCAAATATTTCTTCCAATTCAACAGCAGGATTTTCCCTACCCTCATTTAGAATAGGACTGTTTAGCATGGAGGAAGGACATAAAGAAACTTCTACCTTGATATCAGTTTCATTCTTGATAACCGCAAGAGCCCTAAGCAGAGCATGTTTCCTGCCATTTCTCATAAGTACTTCAAATGCAAAAGGGTTTCCGTCAAGCGATTTAGGAACAACGGATAATGGCAATACTGAACTAAAGGTTTCCCATGGTCCGTCAGGCCCAAGCCCAACCCAGAAACCAACATCTCTATCAACAAGAATTGCACTTTGTATACTTTTTTGAAAATTCATGTCAATATTGCGTTCAAAATATGCGGTAGAAATTACCAACATACCACAGTCATTATTCTCTACATGATTATGAACCTGACAGTATGTAAACTGTTTTGATTAATTAAATGATTCTGGTTAGAATGTGTACGAGATAGAATGCATATTAAAGACATGCAATGCCATTGTAAATACAGTGAATTAGGCATAGAACAATGCAAATACTAAAGCACGACATATGGAATGAATTACCCTCTTCCGTAAAGCATATGATGAAATATTCCGACCATCATAACCTACGGCTTGCTGTAGCATTCTTATAGAAGTAGCCCGTTTTAGGGTATTGCAACTTATACTGAGAGGAACAGATAATGCACCTATGACTTCACCTAAAACTCAGAGTAATCTCCGTCAAACATTGCAATCAAAATAATAATAATAACAATACATTAATTTATAAATGGAATTGCTGCGCACTGAATGTTACCTTTCCCAGCTTTAGCAGCTAGGTTTGTAACTTCTACTTCCAAATTAGCGAAGCCCTGATCAATGGACATAATATAATGATAACTTCTCAGATCCATTGCAAAAGAAAAAAAAAAAAAAGTAGATGAACTGTAAACAATAATGTGTAATCAGCACATTAATTCCATAATCTAAAGTCCAAAACCTAATGCCAGAATAAAAAAAATCGATGTTGTTAGAAATTAAATAAATTTCAGTTTTACTCTCCTAAACATAGGTTTTAGTTCATGCAACATTATATAAGCTCATTCATTGACATGTTTGTAGGTAGAATGAAAGAAAGCTTCGCACTAAGATACAGAAACCAGATAGTATAATCTAAGCTTAATACAATAATTTTGTCCAATAGCTTCCTTGAAAGATTATGTTCAGCCATGTGTTGTAGTATCCAGCACCGCAATATTAGTGTGACGGTAGCAACCAGTGTGCAAACAAGAAATACAAATAACGTTTAAGTTTAGCTAATCAATGAAATTTGGTTAGCTACACAATCACTTGAAAAACGTTGCCTGCTCAGGTTATACTGTTTGCTGAATTATGATGAACACTTTTAAATAAAAGAAAGAAACTGCCACTCGCATATGGCAATTGGCAACGCATATCCTTCTTGCACCCCTACTGATAGATGCATGACCTCAGTCTTTCAGATCAGCACTGGGTTCCATGTAATTTTACAAAACGTAATATGTTTCTTCCTAACTTTTATGGATAGCAGTGCAGCGACAAAAAACTTCTTCTCCATCGCTAAGAGGAACCTGTACTTTCCCTCTTCCAATGAATTCTATCTAGAACCTCAAACATTCAGCTTAGGTAGATATGGATATACATAACCATCACAAGAGTAAACAACTATAGTTAATATTAATCGTAGAGATTTACTATATTGAGAAGTTAGTAACTGGCACATTTTGTCTTTATTATGTAATATATTCTCTTAAATGAGAATAATCTCAGTATTATTTTCTTCCTATTCTACCATTGTAATTTCCTGTATGTAGGCCCAAGTTCTATAATGAAATAAATGAGCTTGTTTTCAATTGTTTGAACATGGTATAAGACCAAGATTAGCACTTTCTTGCAATTTTCCCCTGCTAGCCTAACCTGCATTCTCCTTCGTCAATTCCATTATAATGCACCAGCAGTTCTCTCGACGTTACTAGTGACATGTAATGCTCATTGCTAGAGCCACTCTGCACCTCAACTTTTATAATGCATACTAAATCTATTTACAATTGCATCTGTTATGACCCAATCTGGTAAATAAAATGAAGTAAAATTTTTGCATGTCTCAACATATGTTCGTAAGTGTTTTGTATGCATGAAAGTGATTGAATTTGTTTTAAAGCGAGTCTCTGGGATTTGAGTCAATGCAGGTAAAAATCAAGAATTTTTCCCTTGGGAGCGTTGCGGCATTGGGTAAGTGGCATTGCAGCATTGATCTCTCCAATAGATTTTGAGGAAATGAACTAACGTTGCAGTATTGTGGTCGAGCGCTGCGACATCGTGCTATCCAGCAAAGAGCGTTACAATATTGTAGAGGCGAGCATTGTGACACTAGGTAAAATTTTTATAAAAATATCTAATTCCATTGGATATGATCACCTGTAAGAAGAACATATATAAATTTCTATACTAACCACTTAAGGGCAAGTGCCACAATGCAAATAATCCAAAGGCCATCACACCAAATCATCAACCACATGCGCAGAAAAGGAAAAATCCTAATCCTAGCATGCCTAGGGAATGTGCAGCTAAGTGTGTGAGACTTATGTGACATGTCACTAGAAGAGGTATTTCACTTAGGGTTTGGGTCAAAGGAAAATGTATCTAACATTAGTTTTTGGGCTAAGTGCTGGAGAACTCTTCTTAGCTTTTTGAGCTAGAGAGATGAATGTTTCTTTTAGCTTTGTGGCTAAAGAAAAGGAAGGGAAAATGTCCAACATATAGCCTTTGAGCTAAGTGTTGGAAACTCTTACTTAGTTTATGGAGCTAGAGATAGGGAATGTAGGAATTCAATATTTTAGCTTTTGTGCTAAATATTGGAGAGTTCTCCTTAGCTTTTGGAGCTATAGAATGAGAGAGAGATCTCATACAACTTGGAAATTATAGTAGACAGAGAGGAAACCTATAATTGGAGTCAAGGTTAGAAATCTTCTAGGGCTCTTGGAGCCTATAAAATTGAGAGAAGATTTGTATCTTTGAGGCTACAAATCAAGAGGATATCTCCTTGAATTTTTATATTCAAGAATGGGGGTTCATTTGCAAAGTTTAGGTTAGGCAAATGACATGATAAATCATTAAGTTTTGATTTCCAATGATGAAAGTTTGGTTTGGTAAATGTAGTTGAAGCAAACATAGAAGATAATATGTATGTTTGGTTACAAGTCATGGATTCTTTAGACTTTTGGGTGTACAAAGAAAATGGTTCATTCGCTTAACATGGGTTAGGAGAATAAAGGAGAAATGAGAATAATATTCTTATATTTGGTATAGGAATATGTGTTATCTTTAAGGGAATAAATTTTCCGCTTAGCTTCGGAGCTAAGGGAAATGAAACAAAACTCATAGCTTAGGGGCTGAGGAGTTAGAGAGTTTTCTAAGACATTTGATACTATAAAAAGGATAAATGATCCATAGTTTTGGAACTACAAGTCAAAAAACATTCATTACTCATTCACCTAACTTGGATTGGGTGAAAGAGAGATTTTCCTACAATTTTTTTGGTTGCAGAAGGAGAGAAGTGTGTAACTTTGGGTAGCAAATTTATGAATGCTCTTTGAACATTTGGTGTTTAAAGAGAAGATATACAATATCCCAATTTGGGTTTAGGAGAGAGAAAGGAGAATTTGGAGGTTTCTTGAAATTTTTGGCTTGTAGGAAATGAAGAGGCAAAATGCAACCTATAGATTGCAAATTGGAGAATGGGCTTTCGTTTGATGTCCAAAGAGGGAAGGTTCATTCCTCCAATTTGGGTCGGGGGAATGAAAGAGAAGAAAATGCTACTTAGGAGTTGCAAATTCTTGAATGCTCTTTGAACATTTAATTATTCAAAGAGGAGTGCACACTCTCATAATTTGAGTTTAGGAGAATGACATAATTTCCTACAACTTTTAAGTTATAAGAGTGAAAAAAGAGGTGAAATATTTGCTTTTGATTTTGTATCAACAAACAAAAGGGGTAGATTGATTGATCATGCAGTGAGGTGTTTGGAGCATTGAGATGCTTCAAATAATTCATGCATGAGAGGGAAAATTGTTCATTTGTTGATTTTATGCTTCAACAAATGAGGGAAGATACTTAGGATTTGGACCTAAGGCCTTGCTTGTGCCCTCTTAGGCCCCTCTAGAGGTCATTTGAGAACCTCTATATGGGCTTTGAAAGTCACGGACAAATATATCATTTGTTGGTTTTGGGCTCCTACAAAACTATAAAAGGAAAGCTTAGAGTTTAGTTCTAAGTTTCCAAAGCTTCCAATGTGGTGTATTAGGGTTTTGGAGAAATCCATAATACATGACATGAGGACTGGATGTTTTCCTACAATTTTGAGTTGTAAGAGATGGGGAACAAAATGCAATTTGGAGGTTGCAAATTGGAATGTCTCTTGAACATCTTTCGTTCAAGGGAAGACATGCATTCTCCTAATTTTGGCTTGGGAGAATGAGATGATTCCTATAACCAATGAGTCATAGAAAGAGGGAACCAAATATGCAATTTATGGATTGCAAGTTAGTGAATATTTCTTGAACATTTGATGTTCAAAGAGAGGTGACCAGATACTTGGTTTAGGCTAAGGCTTCGTTTGATTCGGTTTATGCTTACATAAAAAGGAGTTTTAGAAAATGAGGTTGAGAAAAAGTCGTTCAATAAAATGGAGTTTCAATAATGAGATATGTTTGACTAATATTTTTAAAAGTGCTTATTAATACTTGAAAATAATTTTAAATTGTTTGTTTAGGAGTTCTGCTTTTGAGATTTTATTATAAAAGACATTTTGTGACCGAAACTCCGTTTTGTGACCGAAGAAGCATATACAAAAAGAATTTTGTAACCGCCGAAAAAACGATGTTTATTAAAAAGGAATTATTGTTAAGCTTTGATTCCAAACAGTAAATACTAATTGATTTCGGAGTATTCAAACGGAAACGGAGAAAAAAAGCCTAATCAAACGAGGCCTAAGTGAATGATGGAATTTCTTTGAACATTTGATATTCAAAGAAAGATGATCACTTGCTTGATTTGAGCTAAGAAAATAAGGAAGACTAGTATTTAAATCCTATGTCTAGAAGATCACTCATTAATTTATGCTCCAACAAATAGGATAGAAAAACTCATAATTGGATTCTAAGTTCAAGAAATTTCAAGTCATAAAACATTTGGAACCTTAAGAACCTTGAGGAGATTCCAAAGGTTATGCATGGAAGAGAGATAGATGAATGTTTGTTGATTTTGTATGTCAACAAACAAGGGGTAAATGGATTGATCATGCAATAAAATATTTGGAGCATTGAGATGCTCCAAATCATTCGTGCATAAGAGGAAAGGATGACTTAGAATTTCTTTCTAATATCCAAAAGCTTTGGAGCTTGGAGGATGCTCCCAAACATCATGTACAAGAAAAAAAGTTTGTTGTTGATTTTGGATTTCAACAAACAAGAGGTGAGATGAACCTAGGATTTGGCTCTAAGGCTTTGCTTGTGCCTTTTTAGGCCCCTCTAGAGGTCATTTGGGAACCTCTATATGGGCTTTGAAGGCCACATGCAAAGATATCATTTATTGGTTTTAAGAAACTTATAATATAACTCTAAGTTTGGAAACTTGTGATATGATGTGTTGAATATTTTGAGAAAATCCACAACACTAAATGGAAGGAGATTAGTGATAGCTCCTAACGGTTTCTAAGATTCATGTACTAAAATATTTGGAATTTTGAAGAAACTCCAAACATCAAGCATGAGAGGGAAAAAAAGATATATGCTTGTTGAGTTTATGTTTTATAAAAAACAAAGGATAAAATAAC